TCCACAAATTCAAATTCAAGGTTAGCCACCGAAACTATTTGCATAGAAAATCGAGTTTTGTTTTAGATGATCACTCCACCAGTCAACCTTCGCCATCTTCATCGAAAGTAGGAGAGGCTTTTTGACAGTTCTTTTGTAAGCGACGTTTTCGCCTAGAAATTTAAGGTCGCAGACGAATTTGTTTTCAATAATGGTGATGATATTCGATTGACTATAATTGACGATAACGAAATTGATTCCGAAGTCAATGTTATACTTAAGGAACAAGATGCAATTAATACAATACTTAATCAACCTTTCTCGACACGTGTGGTCTCAATATCCGATACGGAACTTGAATATGAGTTAGCAAATCTCATTTATGGATGTCCAGCAATTGATTATAAGGAAAATCCGTTGGCAACAACGACAGCAACTTTGAAATCCGTTGATGCTTAAAATTTTCTCTTTTTCAAATCATTCGGAACAATTCTATCTGTGCAACTTTAGCAAATCTAGTGCCAACATTGTTGTATGAAAATAAAACGCTTTAATAAAAAAGAAAACATTGTTAAATCTGTCGATAGTCGTTGTATGCAGAAGTATGACTCTTTCGAAGAGTCATGTCTCTATTTAATTTGTAAAAATTATCATCTATTATCTGTACAAGACTTCTCCTTTTGTTTTCATTACTTCGAAAATAGAAAGAGAAATGTTTGATTCACAACAGAACAGAACAATGATGCGACTTTTGACGGTACAATTCAAATGCAAACAAAATATGGAAACCAAACACAAAATGTTGAACAGCGACATGGTCAAATCCAACATTTAGAAGTAAGTCTGATTCGTATATAAAACTGTGATGATTTTCTTTCCTGTTCTCAGAATCAAATTATTCAACTGCACAGAATACATGGTGACTTTGCTGAACTTGTTGGTAGCCATCAAAATCTGATTAGTATCGAATGAAATCTCGCCTGAAACTTCTTATGTCTATTTTCTAGATAATATTGACATTATTATCGTCAAGGCTGAAGATCATGTCGTTGCTGGAGCGAGTAGCGTATCGAAAACTATTGAATCACAGGTATATTATTCATGAATAAGAAAAGAAAACACGCGATTTGATTTAGTCTGCAATACGTCGAAAGAGAATTTTTTGCAGTTTATTCTTTTTCGTTATTATTATTGTCCTTGCCGTCATTATTGGAGTGATGATATACTTTTCTGGAAAACCAAAAATAATTCAACGGAATATTGCTTGTGTTCTTGACAAAATAAACGTTAGAGAAAGTTTTCAGATGACAAAACAAATGAAATTCTCTCTCTCTCTTAGTGTCAAGGTCGAGTTTTTTCAAGCTTTCTGAGTGAGTAGAAAATAACTTCAACAAGAAGATATTTTCCGGATGAGTGTCTTTTGTTCATAAAAAATATTAATTCACTATATTAAACACTATTTTTCCCTTGTTTCAATATTAGCCACCGCATCTTGATGTCCTAATTGTTCCATGAGTTTGGCATTTTTCATACACGCTGCAATGAATTCCTGTTTACTAATATATCCGTTTCTGTTCTGATCATTATCCATATATCGATTGCATAGATTATCAATTTCTGCTTGCGAAATTCTAGGGTGCATTCGTTTTAACATATGTTCAATATCATTTCTAGTCATTCCTTCAATTTGTAACTCATTTGATGTTGGTTTTAAACTTTGTCGCGATAAAGCCTGATAAGTGTCAAATACTGTGCCTAATTGTTGTTCTGGCTGAGATTGTTGAGAGAATGTCGCGATTGATTGAAGATATTCTTGAAATGAAATTTGACCGGAGTTATCCTTGTCGATCATTCGAAATATTGCTTGACTTCGGTCAGTTGATGCCCTGAGCATTTTTAACTGATCATCAAATTGTGCTTGGGTCATTCGTCCATTCGGACTGATAGTCATGAATTGGCGATAGTAGATTAAAATATCGTTTTCAGGTATGTTTGTTAGTTCGTTCAACTTCGTCAATTGTTTCTGCGAGAGATCTATCGAAGAGGTATGTTCTGCTGTTCTGGATGAGCTACATAATGTGCCCATGGAAAAAAAGATTTTCAATAATGCAAGCAGAAATATGTTTGCGAGCGCCTATAATGAGAGAAATTAGTTTTGAAAGTTCGAAAATTTTGCACTGAGACATAGTTGTTAGTAAGAAAAAGAAAACTTTAGGGTTCATGAACCATGAAATTTGATCAACGTCAAGTTTTAATTTACCGTTAAAGGTTAGTTTTCTTTCTTAATCGAATATCCATGTATATATGTATTTATTATCAAGATAAATGGAAGAACGAATCTTACCATTAAAAAAAGACTTTAATTTCAGCGAATTCGATGATTATCTGCTAGAATAATATATTGCGAAGGGTAAAGATCAAGGTAGAAATTGAGATTGTACTCGAATATAATCGGTTTTTTCTTTCTTTTTACTAACATACCACGAATATCATTTAATGAGATTGATTTGTTGTTGATATTATATGTCATTGGAGAAAATTTCATGGCTTTCATTCATTTCATTTGCTGTACCTAAAATCAAATCCATATCAGCTAGGTCATTTCTCTACTTCTCTCTCGAATCATACCATTAGCCTTGGTAGGTGTGTTTATCTTCTGTTATTCGATGGTTAAAACTAAATACCCGATCAGTCGAGGTCAAGTCAAATCCTGACGACTTCTTACGAATAAATTTCACAAAACACACACAGACTCACACGAGAACCTATAATAGTGCATACATTACATGTATGTATTTAAAAAAACGTATCGATTCTATCATATGGTATACATACGCGTATTCTTTCATTCATTCATTCATTTTTCTGTCTGCATGTGTGTGTGTGTATGCGCATTGCATAAGAGATATATTCGGTCGATAAGCTGTTTCTCCTGGCGTTTCTTTTAACAGATTTTCATCTTTTCTCTCATTCTCCTTGTGCTCATTCTCACATGCCATATGATAGTAATAAAAAGTGAATAGGAGCACACGTAGTTGACCTGTACTTTGTCTTCTCTATTGTAAAGAAATTCGCCCTCGTCGTTTGATTTGTGTTGTCTTTCAAATTCAATCAGAATACTTCGAGGAAATTTATCAACCATTGTATCTATCATTTTGCCTAGATATTTAAACAGGGCGTATCGAGTAGGAAGACATGGATAATTGTAGAGTACGAACATCGTTTATTGTTCAATATTCGCAAGAAAACAATCACTTTTCTTGACAAGTATATCGTGTGAGAGAAGCGATCGAAAAAAATGAGTACGATAATATTGTCATGCGAAAGATATTATATAAAATTCAGATGTCTTTCTTAACAATTGAAGATGATGATGAGCTCTTCTGAGAATTCAGTCTGATGTTTGACGATGAAGACATGAATGAGTATACCTGAATGTTAAACAGATCATTTTTCAAGTGTATCTCATCATTATCATTATCATCTATTTGATTCTTCATCTCTAATGGAAAAATTCTTCGCACAGCTCTGTCTAGCCAAACTACTTCTAAGTAGAATAGTTTATCATGATTGATACGAATAAACTTTTGTTCAGCTGTCCGTATAATATTCTTTCAAACGATGACGAGATGAAGAAAAAAGAATGAAGACGGGTGCTGGACAGCAGATAAGATGATATCACTGCTTTTCTTTTCCATTTTTATCGCTGACCATCCGTCGCCGACATAGTTAACAAGTACTATATAGGCTGTTGGCAAAACAACAATCACATCGCGTCGGGTGATTGTCTTGCTCTCGGCTGAGAATGTTCATACGCACGATCGTTCATGTCACATATAGATATGCATAGATACATATAACAATGTTGCATAAATCTATCGCGTTGCAATAGAAGCATCAGTAGGCAGCTAATCAAGAAGATGTGCCAACACTCTATTATCCTTCAATAATTGCCTCCATATCGTTTTTTTCTCTTTGTCTGCGTGCGTGTGTTGAAGATAAAGAGAAAGCGTATTTATTAGAGAAGAAAAGTGAGAAATCGAAGACGAACGAACAAACGCTCACTGATGTGTGTGTGTGTGTGTGTGTGTGTGTGTGTGTGAGAGAGATATTGCTCATCGACCGTTGCGTATGTGCCGATACGTATGATTATCGGTGGGAAGAGAAGAGAGAGAGAGAGACAGAGACAGAGACAGAGAAACATCGCTGCACGCATCCATTTATGAATATCGATCAACTTGTCATCGCACATAGACACAGCATGTAGGATGAATAGTGATGAAGATCAACGTATGTATAATTCGTTTCAGATTTTTTTCTGTTTTACTGGATGCATATAGTAAGTATCCTGAAGATAAATATCTTTGCATTCTTCATTGTCAATAATTATCCTAAGAAAAGGATCGTTTTCCTGATTATAAGAAATTGATAAAACGGATGAGCATGTGCAGTTTTTTATTGCTTCTGTCTGAAATTGTTCATCTTCAGTTGATAAAGTGCAAATCAATTTCACATCGAGTGATGTTAAATGAAACGACAGCGGCATTTTCATCGAAGGAAAGAGAAATATTGACACAAGATCGTCAACTTTAGGTCTTATTCAGACATCAGATGAATTACATGATAATAACTTTTACTTCATCTGTTTTTTTCTTCTATAGATTTGATTATGTGAAAGTCGAGACAATTAAATGAATTAATTCCTTCTTTTATTCTTGTGTGTCTTGCTACAATAGTTACTATCTTGTGTTTGATAGTCTATTCACAACAGAACGTACCATGTGTGAAGGCTCCTTGAAAACAGTAAGAAAGAGATAGTACATATATTCTGCGCAGCAGAAATGCGTCAACATGTGTTCAATTCCCTTTTTTTTTATGTATATGTCGCTTTTTTTTCTTTCACTCTCTTCCTCTTCTTTTCTCCTCTGTTGATTTTGTCGTCATTATATGCGTCGATCTCCCTGCTCATCGTTCATTTTAGATTCATCATTTCTTTTTTCTAAGGACATCCTATTATAATCATGAATCGTCTTCTTGTTCGACGTTGTAGTATGTCGTCTATCGAAGAAGAAGACGAACCATCGACTTCGGACGAACTAACAACACAATCAGTGCAATTATCACCATCAGCAGCAGTCAAACATTATTCTCGATTAAGACAGTCACCTTCTGTTATTGAGTGGGATTCGGAATTATCGGAATCTGAACAAGAATTCGACGATAATGATGACGATCTGAACGAGAATGGTGAAGACCGAGCGGCCAACCGAGCATTACAAAACTTTATTCAAACATCTTCAAAATACGTATGTATATTTCTAATCGTATTCTCTGTTGACTAGTCTAGCATAAATGAGTTGCAATTGGATCGCATTGATCAAGGTTATCTAAAGATCGCAATTCAGAGGATCCATACGATCACCGAAGGAGACAGACGTGAAAAACGTAAATCAGCACAAATGAATAACAAATTGAAGGAAAAATAGTAAACGAGACATATGTACACTGAAAGAGAAAAAAATATGTATGTCTCGAGGGGAAATTACAAAATCGTTGTGCCTTTTTATAGGCTGGCCATCTTATTAGCATGGTTGTATAGAGACGTTTAGCTAAACATCACTTGTTGACATGAGAACAAGGTCGTGAGGTAACGAAATATCTATATGTGCGACTATTTCAAGAAGTCATACGTTGAGTAATTGCGTTCGTGCTCGAGCATTATTCGTTCTACGAGCACGATTGTACAAGAGACTAACATAATCTGACCTTTATCTATTATTCTCCACGTTTTGTATATTGAATTCTGTCTTTCTATTCCATAGATCGGTTGAGAAGGAGGAGTCGAGTATTTGTTTGGTTAATCATGTACATGAGGCAAGATGTACTCTCTGCAATCAAGGTTATCGATATCGATGCAAATACATGTACACGTTTGTGTTAGGAATGCCTGTTGATAAATGAAATGAACAGCAGCGGGCGGTGATAGTATTTGTTTGATGTGATCTACACTGTCGATTACATAGTATACCGAAGGAAAGAATCATGTCAATGAAGGACGCGACGGCAGTTTTTTTGTCTCCTCGGACGATAGTTTTTGAAATTATGTGTAGAAAAAAATGATTCAAAGGCGAACGAAAGACATTAAAATGCACTGATACGCATGATTTCGTTGTAAAAAACGAAGGTGAGGATATGACTTTTGTCCCCCATTCATCTAATTTTCATAGATCATTGAACACATCAAATGAATCTATACTAAAGATAATGTATCTTTTACCATTGTCCAGTAATACTGGCTCACACGATAAAAAATTTATCTCAAATCTTATAAATAAGACAAAATCATCTTGTCAAATCTAAACCGAAGAAATTTAATGAACGTGACAGTTGAAATTACACTAAACGTATCTATGTATTCGAGATTGAATAGGTTTTCACACGTGTACATACAATTTAAACTAAAACTTCGTCAGATAGGTTCGAAACTCACTGTTGAGCCCTGTAGAAAATCAATGACGCAATTTCTGAACGATGAATTGATTGCTGAGACAGAAAAATACAGTATTCACGATTCACACTATTGGAATTTTATCCTCAAGTTTACGCGAAAATGTTCCTAATTAATCAAAGTACAGTTCGTAAAGTCTAGAGAACAGTTTTGCTTTGTATATTTGACCTTTATTTGTAAATAGTTGGCTAAACTAATGTAATACGTATTTACATATACTTCGAGTTCACTCTTACTTCTTTCCTTGCTTTCCCAGCACAGATGTAGAAGAACCTTGTCGTCTATTTGTGCAACTAAGTGAATGTTTAAAATAGATTTGTTTGACAAATCACTTCTCGCCAGTCGATTTGTTAAAATCGAAACTCGAGGCAGATGCACTGCAAGTACGTAGAAAAGATTAGCAATGCAAAATTCATCGGTAAAACCATCTAACGTTCTGTTTGGAATGAAAAACAAACGAATCCCTTTTTATAAGTATTATTTATTGAGTTTTTGTGAAATTGCCGAGGAGAATTTCTCAATAAGAAAAAAAAATCATCAAGATAAATATGAATAATTAGCTCAATTTTTTCGATTAGATGCTTTTGTTATTATATTATTCTAGTCGTTTGAATATTCTTGAAGTCTTTCCACATCTTTTATCCGTCATGTTTGTTTAAACTGATCAGTAAAACGAACATACAGAAAACAGATGTATACTAACTCTCATCGTACTATCAAAGTTGTTTTCTTCCAACTGTCTGTTACAACCGTCTGAGTAATTTGCCTCCTGTGAGACGGCATGTATGTATTCACGATCTAATTGTTTGTTACTTCTTTCTCGTTTGGATACCATGTATTTACTTGCGCCATGTGTGAGCACGCGCGTCAGAATAATGGTCGTTAAGTGGTCGATCACTGTGATTTACTTGAACATGTTCGTGTACATGGAGAAATATCTCGATTGAATCAGAGAAAGGAAAAGAGAGTGCATGAAAATAAAGAATGTTCAACAATAGCAAGGATTGTTTATTCATCTTTCTCCTTCATTCGTATACTCAATGGCATATTGACCCATTCCTTCGTCAAGGAGATATTTTTTGTACATAGAGATTGCTTTTGCATCGAACATAATCCTTCATGGACAATGAGAATATCGAGGTGAACTCCTAAGTGAAATAGATCTCGATATAAACATATATATGTATTTATTTATACACACTTATTTATTTATATTTGATTTCTAGAAGCAAGCTCAGATCGACCATATAGATGGTTCATATTCTTCATCTTCAATACATCTTTATGGTAAGTCATGTCTTATCTATCTACGTCCTATTTTCTTCCTTAACATAAATCAAGCAGCAAATTATCGAAAAAGTTGAAGGCGTTTCGTGTCAATTACTTGGTAAATGTTTCCTAAGCGACAATGAAGATTAATGAAAATACGTTTTTATGATAAACGATAATGGTAGATGTGACAGAAAGAACGGTGTATGTTATATGTTTCCTTTAACTAGACAAAAAAAATGATGTAACATGATAAAACTATCATAGTAAACGAAGCAAATTTTCTCTACGCATGTGTGGAGAAGTGACAGAGTGTGGCACGACATTATGTAGCTCTAGACGATAGAATCATTCATGCAGTGATGAGCAAGTGTCAATCAAATGTAAAAGCTTTTCTTCTTTAGATAGATAACAGCAAGAAGGTAAGGACCGAGAGAGAGAGAAAGTATCTGTATACTCATACATATAAACATAAGACTGTATCGAATCTCAAATATTAATGTTCTAATATCTATAAAATCAGTAGCACGATAGGATCGAGTTTGTAATAAGATGAAATAAGATACTAATGGTTACATCATCATTATTCTTCATCTCCTCAATATATTGGCATAGTTAGAAATGTGTCCTTGCAAGCTCAGTCACCCTAGAAAAAGAACATCGAAGAATATGACCCTTCTTTTTCTGTACTCTTTAATTTTGTTGGACTACGAGCATATTAGAAACGTAAGCTTTGAAGACTGTAAATGAAAGTAGCATATCTAAGGCATATAGGGATTAGGTATTAATTTTCTACTATTTTCAAATCTATGGTAGTCATTCTCTGTCGCCTTCGTTGATGACACATATTATTTCAAGCTTCTATCATCGTCGTTCCATTATCTTGTCGGACAATGTACGTTCACTCACACAACATTGGTCTGTGTATGTCTTACATAACTATAATAGTACTTCTTTTTTTTTATGTATTTGCTTCAATAGTTGCACATCAAATCTAGGGAAGAGAAGAGAGAAAGTACGACTGTTTCCGTCGGAACTAGATGTGTGAACATACATCGTTCTTTCTATGTGCTTCTCCTTCGTATTCTCTCTCTTTCTTTGTCTATCTTAATCGTCAATCGGAAATACACACGTAGAAGAAAATGAACAACTGTGCATGTATATATGTATGTGTGAGAAAGAAAAAGGGCATTAGTGTATATCAAATATTGTTTCGGAGAACATGAGTTGTGCAAATTATTACGTGAATCGGGATGAAGAGGTCATCGAAGGAGATAGTGTTCTCACATTATTTATTACATGATTTGTGTCATTTGTCATTTTTCATGTTTGTTTTTTAGACGAAGACGATTCAGCTGAACTTGACGCGATTATATCCGAATTACGAGATTTCAAAATTCAATTTGAAGAATGTTCTAAACTTTCGCTATTGCCATCCATATCCTCTTCATCAATAATCAAAAGACCCTCAAAAATGAATTCACCGTTAAATCATTCGTCCCCTTTACTACCAACACAACCATCATCACCACCTCTTCTTTCATCAGTTCCAATAACAACAACGACATCCTCCTCGACAACGAATACTAATGGTTGTGTTTACGAACTCCGCACACTTGAAGATCAGCTTGAAGCTGCACTGGCTAGTTTAACATTAACAATCAATGATTGTACAACAACCAATCTTGATGCTCAACAACAACGTTCATCTGGCTCAAGTGCCTGTTCAAGTGGTCTTGGTGATGAAATTGTCAACGATTCATTCAATCACTATAATAATATTTCCAACACAAGTAATCCAATTACAGCCAGCCTCCCACCGTCAGCACCTGCTAGTGTATCATTTACGGCGAAATTTGCTGCTATGAACATGACCGATGATTGTGATTCTGCATTTAGTGATAGTGGATCCACCGACAAAATAACATCTTCTAATCACGATGAACCCGTAAGTACTGACACTTCATTTCTAATATCATGACTACGTGGGAGAAAGAAAATGTCGTTTTCAAACTCATACGAACAATTTATCAACAGAATCGAGTCTTTCTCTTATTTATAGATAACTTGTCGTTCAATGGTAACAATGACAAGCACTACCAAGCAAGCAACGTCTTTTGTCGCCGACTCAGACGATCCAACTCCCTCTCCATCTCAACACCCATCGAAGTTACTTATTCGGACTTACAATGATGATGGTTCAACAAAGAGCATCCTTATTGATCATTCCATGACAATTCGTGATGTCCTCTTTGTACTCGTTCATAAAAATCATCGAGAGCCTGACAATGACTATGCTCTCGTTGAAATCTTACCTGATCTTCACATGGGTAAGGAACTATCCGGAAGAAAATGAGTTCATCCAACAAGTTTCGTCTTTTATAGAGCGTACTTTCGAAGATCATCAAAAATTAACAGAAGCAATTCTTATGTGGCCAACAACATCGTCTAATCGATTGATATTCACCAAACGACCAGAAAAATACTCACTTTTTCGAGCAACAACATCACTCCTTGTGAGTTGCGCCTACTTGAATAATTTTCATTGAAATATGTGTATGTTTGTGTAGGGAAATAATGAGACAACGATGGTCTATGATGAACTATTAAAAACCCCTGATATAGAAGGAGTGATCCACTTAAAAGAGAAATCGCGTAAATCTTGGAAAAAACATTTTTGTGTACTCCGTTCGTCTGGTCTCTATTTCGTTCCGAAAGGCAAAAGCAAGGTAACGTATTTCTCAACATTCTAGACTTGTTCATCAGCGTGTGCATATACTTTTACAGAAAGATCTGGTTTGCTTGGCTAAATTCGAAAATATCGAATTATTCTTCGGTCTTGGTTGGAAAAAGAAGTTTAAATCACCTAGCGATTATTGCTTTGCACTTAAGGTATATTATCGAATTCGGATATTTCATTCAATCCTAAAACAATCTCTGTTCTTTCTGTTCAAATCAGCATCCGTTAATTCAAAAGAAAAGTTCGAAATACATCAAGTATATGTGTGTCGATACCAAAAATGAGTTTGATCAATGGACAACAAGTATTCGAATCGCGAAAGTATGCTGAAAAGGTTCGAAATAGATTTCACACATGTCTCTTTTTGCTATTCTTGTTAGTTCGGTCAACAATTGAAAATCAACCATTTTCTCATAGAAAAGGCAATGAATATCTACCGATCCTCAGGTATTGAGATGTCGTTGATTATAAGCGGAGCTTTGAAAGGAGAAGATTCGTTTAGGTCGATTTGCTGCTGTTTGTGCTGCTCAGTTAAAAACACCAGACGAGCAATTAGTGAACTCAACGAATGCAGAAATATGTTCTCCACCGAAACCGTGCGCATCGATTCGCGATCGGCAAGTACTGAATCGAATACCCATCGCCTCAACAAACAATACTTCATATAATCAATATCATTCTCCGCAATCATCTGTATCTCCTCAGTTAACTTCTTCTACGACTATAAGTAAGTTACAATGAGTAATATTTGATACCTAACTTCGTTCGATTTATTAGTCTCAACAAGTATAATAAGCAATGAAGGAAATCATAAAGACCAACAAGAAGATGATCATAATGATGAAAATTCTCCAATTAAGTCAGCTAGCTATATGGATGAATTACGGCAGCGATTAGAACGTGTTCTCAATGATCCACCATCTCCTATTCCATCAGTCTCCTCACCAGCTCAATCCCAGAATTCTCTGAATTCACTTGAGCGTCACTCATGTTTACCTGTTTCGAAATCCTTTCGTTTGCCTGCCCCATCTATTCCTACACAAGCTCTCTCTTCTGTTTCCAATCGATCAACGGCTGTTCCACGTATTCCTCTAAAGTCAACACCGTTGTCAAACCCGACATCCTCAAATCCACCTGTATCATCTTTATCAAAAAGCACGACAATCCGTACCCCAACGACAGCATTGATCACCCCACCAAAACTAAAACCAACTCCATCTACTCAATGTTTAAGTTCTCCAGAAAATTTACGTACAATGCACACAAATCCTCAGATGACAGCAACGACAATAGGCTCAACACCACTACCACGAAAACAGCTAACATCGATTCAAGTCTCTGCCAGAAATCTATCGTATCGATTGACAAATAATTCGAATACAACAGGACACCAATCTCATTTGACGAATGGAAACTGTCATCAGCTACAGCAGCAACAGCAACACATGAGTAAGAGCTTTATTATGCCATCAAAACGAGATGGTAAGTGTGATGTAAAATGCTTCCATCACAACTATTCTGTTTTGCTAATATTAGATCATCGCAGTGTCAGTTCATTATCCGTTACGTCGAAGTCTGATTCATTGAATCTAGATGATTCAGATTTTCCCCTTCCGTCACCAACATTTCTTGACGGTTTATCAGATACATCTATTAGCACGAAATCAATTCCAACCACTTTAACGAAATCAAAACCACCTGTTCTCAGTACAATGAATTTCAATCGATCAAAACTGCCATCATCAACCAATATCGCAGCATTAAAAAAGCCATCAACAACGTTTCGTGCTAGCGGCCGACCGCAACCTCCTGTACCTGGAAAAAGTGGTCTTATTCCACCATCAATTAAACTATCAACATCAGTATCACTAGCACGTCCATTAAATAAATCTCTCGTTTCATCAACATCGAATAATTCATTGACAAATAGCAAAATTTCCACAATGTTATCTACGTCTAAACCTGTTCCTCCTGTTCCACCACGTAAATCCAGTATTCCTCGTCCATCTTTCAAACCACAACCACCACAACGAGACTCGTCAAATAATCTCCTACAAAAGCCTCATATCAGTCATTTATGAAAAGAAGCATTTTGAAACTAATGTTAATTCTATCTGCGTCTACTTGTTTTATGGCCCCGTGATAATAATGACCACAATTTATAATATATATGTATACTTGACGTAAACGCTCGTAACACACATCTATGCAGTGAAGTTTTCTTATTGTCTTTTTATTTGTTTGTTTGAATTTTTAAAAATTTTTTAAATATCAAAAGTAACGCGTCGTGAAGCTTTTCATTTCTTCATCATTTGACAGTCGATAAAGCACATCTTCACATTCCTTAGTATATTATTCGTAAATATGCATAAACCATGAGCTAAAGTACGACATCATTGCTTCCAAATGAGCACTTATTCGAGTACTTGTCCATCTGAATGTGTAGTATTGACTGAATTCGTACAACTATGAGTAACAACTGTTTCATTGATTGTGAACTATTCACTAAAAACAATCATGAAAGAAAAAAATCGTTTTTCTATTCAAACTCTTATCTTTGAATTGTTCATTTTTTTTTATTGTCATCAGTAATGTGAGCAATCTTTACAATATAAATACGAAAGTCGTGTCTATGGGAGAAGTAACAAATTCAAGTATTGTTCTTATTCCTATCTGGAGATGCATTTTGTATGCTTCTTTGTTCTTTCATTTCTCAGACATGTACAATATTACCTAACATGTATTGTTTTATGACATAATGATGTGAGACAGACATGCATACACATGAAATGATGTAAGTAAATGTTTGATATTCCAGTAGATGAGATCAGGTTGGCTAACGGTAGAAAAAAGCTTCACTCCGATAAAATAGGAGGATTTTTTACCGTATTCAAATATTTGATTATGTGATTTTAACGTATGAGCATAGACTTGTTGATAAAAAAAAACCATGCGCGTATGTTTAGATCGAACGAAAAAAGTATGTAGGAAGAAAAACATGTCCGAGACACGCATACCCATGCATATGCACCTATGTAAATAATGTCTTCGACTGTCATGACGATGGAATGAATAAATGCGATGAATTAGTCAACTGAAAACGGAACGGGAAAGAAGTAAGATTGACATTTTTTTTTGACAAATGTAATTATGGATGGTATGAATTCCACGTTAATCTTAGCAACTAGAATAAATTCAGTTTTGAATGTGTGACACCGCATTTTTAGTTTGACGAGAAAATTCGTGGCGAATATCTTTTTTCGAATCGAACAGCTGATTATAACTTACTAAAATGATTCGAATAACATGAATATATGCAAACTCAAAACATAATGTTGTTTTTGTCAGATTTCTTTTTCAATTCGTTTTTTCCTCCTCTGTGATCTTATTCTTCTATTGCCATACCGATATTGATGACATTTTTTTTCATTATTTTCAGATCTGCACATTCTATACATCGTATTAATGAGAAAAACGTTGTGTTAATTCGAAATAACATGGATATATATATCTTCAATTAGATAGTTATATATGTTTTTGTTGTCGTTTTGTTGTTAAGTTTTATTTTCTTAAAACATACTTTAATCATCGAAATTCAATACGAACTGCTATGTTTTTTCGTACTAAAAAAGCACTAATGGAACGAACGCATCACTTTATATAACAAAATCGAATCAGTCAAGTTTTTACTCTGTAATTTTCTAAATGGTTTACACATTGGATCGAGTGAGTAATCATTTGCTTTTATTTCTTCAATATTCTCCTCTTTATGCCGATAGAAAAGATCGCTTCAGGTCTTTAGTATGTCATGTAGTATTCTCCAATACATCGCTGAAATTAATATATCATTAATCGGTACAAATTACGTGTACATACACCGACCTCTGGAGGTAGAGATCGAATTCTACCTGTCATTTCGAATTCATGTAGTCTTAATTAGTTAAGTCATTCAGTCGACAGCATTAGTGCACTAGGGTCATCGTTTCTAGACAATTAATATTCGTTTACACTTCACATTTAATTAGCTTCTGGTACGAAAAAGTCAATATATTCAGTTATTCGAAGCGTTGGAGTCATCTAAAATCAGATCTGTTTTTTATGTGAGTAACGGTGAAGTAAATAACGCACGAATCTCTATTTCATTACATTACTATAAAAAGGCTCTCGAATTAAAAGAGAAAAATCAGATGAGTTTTTTCGTCGAAAACTTACAAATGCATGACGAAGTAAAAACAATAATAATAGCGTCGCAGCAAAATAAAGAAAACAACGGCGTTCAAATTCAACAGTTCATCTAGTATAATAAGGCGTTTAAGATTATTGTTTTCTTGAAAATCTTTCACGTGAAAACGATGCACTCGCAGACTCTATTCAGGATTATAAAACAAACTCGAATGAATGAGAACTTTTCCAATTGGAGATGACACAGCTGCACTGATGATTTCATTGAGGCTAATTATGATTGATCGTTGTGATACATTGTCGTATGAAAACAGCATAAGTATTTTCTTTCATATCTAACGTTTTTGGCAAGGGAACAGACGCATTCCGTTTTCGATTGCGATGTATGAGTTTAAATCTGTCATTTGTCTGAAATCATTCTTTATTTTCTTCCTGATTTGTGATGGATAAACATTTTCTATTTTTAATCGAAGTTATTCTTTCTACCACACAAAAATAGATTTTACTTTTTGAAATCTTTGTTATTGATTAAGCAAGGTGAGACTCAAGAGTTCCTCGTTATGTTCTATTAGTCACTTTATTATTTTAAATTGTTTGTTTTTTCAAATCTGTCCGATACAAATCATGTCCCACTCGTATGAAATTCATTGACAATACTAAACAAAACAATAGTTGTGAATAGAAAATCGACAGAGATGATTAACATAACATATACTCAAAACATACACGTCATCAATTTGTTTGAAAAAAAGTCTAGAGCAACGACATTTTTTTACTCATAAGCTTCTAAGGACGTACGATCACATCTATTTTCTATGTTTTTAATGCGAAGCTCCACTAAGTTAAGGAAGGTACACTTTCTAGAAATGCATCATAGCTACCCATGTGTATTCGCCTACGTATTTTAAAATGATTGACTAACCACCTGTTTGCTACAATGAGATTTGGTAGTTAATACGATGTGTAATTTTGAAAGAAAGTGATTAAATGTGTCACATGAATGATTAAAAATATTTGGTTAAGAAAATGCTGTTGCTATGCGTGACAATGACGTTGGCGATCGAAAGAGATCGTATGTCCAAGTGTAGGCGTGAGTCAACGCGAATAAGCGAAGAGAAAATGTGAGAATAAAAAGGAAAATGAATTAAACAACTGAAATACTAGTTGTCATTTGATGATTTGAATAAAAAGTACACGTTTGTAGTTAAAGAGTAAGTGAAAAAAAAATTAATTCTTTTCTCAGATTTCATTTTGTTAGAATTGTCAACAGAAGTTAGAATTGATTATTACTTGGAGGCATATTCGCATTTGATTTAAATTTGCTTTTGAAGTTTATAGTTGCCGCTACTTTAGTATTTTCTCTTTATTGATTGAACTTGAAGAGCTTCTCAAACGATGTGTGCATTTGATTGCCAAAAGGCACATACTTTTTTCAATGTGAATATACTCAATTCTATTCCTTCTTCTTTCTTTTTCTCCTCCGATTTTCGTACCTTGCGTGCAATAACGAAAGTCTTTGCATCATTAATAAGTCCATAGAAGGGTGCATAGTACGAATATATTAAATCAATAACATTTGAGAAAGAAATATAAACTTATTTTCACCTCTGATATCATCCATTCCAATGGTTTTTCTTCTTCAGTGAATATTTATTTACCGACATATTAAATTCATTGGTTTGTTTTGATTTATGCGACTAATTTTGACAAGTCAACACAATGATTGAGTGTTTTAGATTTTGAAATAATAGATCTATTAATATATGACGTTTTATTATCAACAAGTGGCTGTTTTCTTTTGAAATTTTATTCATTTTCCAGCGAAACAATTATTTCATGCCTTTATTGAAATTATTTGAGTTAATCGAAAATCTTCTTGGTTTTGGTGAACATGGCCTTCAAATTCAACAGAGATCCACTCAGTCAAAACGTAGATTATCAGGAGAGCCGGATTACATTAACAGAACCATCGATCACTCTCCGATTCTCCTTTTGGATTCGGCAAATGTGAGTACCCACCTGCTCTATTGTTAATCTAAGGAAAGCGTTTATTTCACATGTTTTCATGATTGAAAAGCGCTCATGCATTCTTCATACACATGCTAAATGATTATTTTTTGAAAAATTTACATAAAATATTTCGATTTGAAAACAGTACGGAACAGACGAGTCAAAAGAACCTGATTAGCATTACTTGAATTTAAATAGCAGACTGTATTGATGAGAATCGCTAAATGTACTTCGAAAACGAGTAAAATATTTTTCTTGTTGACATAACAAGAAATCCGCTTTCAAAAGCTCTAAAATGAAACGAAAACAAATATTCGACGCGCTGAAAATCTATATTGTCGACGATTTTCCCATTAAATAGGTCAATTTTTAATGTCAAAGCAACTTGTATATGATTTGTTGATTGTGATCAAAAACTACATGTCTCTGTGCACTGTAGACGCAGTCGAGAAAAAGAAAGAGAATTATTTACTCGTTATAATCTTTATTTAAAGACATCTAATCGGTGAGAGGCGAGTTCTAAGTAGAAAAATTGACAAAACGAAAATTACTCTTTGTAATTTATTTCTTTACGAATCTAGACTAATTTTAATATGGATAATTATAGCATTTCTTCGATGAAATTGAATGGACAAGGTCAGTAGAGATTAAATTTGAAAATATAAAATACATTCATTCATTCGGTTACTCTTCATACATTCTCTGTAGTTTCAATATCAGATTTCGTTTAGCGGATCAGTCTTTCTCTTTGATGATATCAGGTCTGATATTGATTTTCTAAGGAGAAAAAAAACTGCCGCGTATCTACATAAAAAAACGTTGATATTACACGAACAAACTCAATCGGGATCACTGTTTCTATAATTACTTGCTGAGTATAAAAATTCAATACGTCTCTTTTTTCGTGTATGTGCGTGTTTGTGTCACTGGCGATTATGATGAAAAAAATTTCGCACTGTCAGATGACACAGACAGAACGAAAAAGAAGAAAGGAATAAGGTTTCAACCATACGGAAGATAATCATGTGCCTTAAATGACGAAATCGTTGAACATTATCCGAGTAATTATGAAAAAATAATTCTATCATATGAAAATCATGTTTGTTGCTATGAATATTATTGCTTTCTCTAGCATGTCATGATATGATTGCTTTTTTTAAGAGGATACTTGAATATAGAAGTATCAAAAGAAAAGAAATGAGAAATACTTCAAAAAGAAAGGGTCTAGTTTGTAAAAATCGAGAGCTGTTTCGAAAAAGATGATTTCGTGATTGATGTTTCAGGTGATTAATTTCTTTTACGATAAAATGAATAGAAGAATATATTGATTGTATTCTTTTTTCCAATTTAGAATCTGAGCAAACTGAATATACCATCGAGAAAAACGTGTCGTCAATCACTTCCATCACCACACAACAGTCGGATTGCAAATAATATTCGCGGCCCATCATGGTGGTTATCATTAATTTTTTTACTTATTTCTACTGTGATTGGTTTTCAATCTGGTCTCGTTCTTCTTTGTAATGTGAAACGATGTATTACAGATGAATTACCTTCTCAACATGAATCAAGTAATTTACTGATCGCTAGCAACAATCGAACAAATGCGATCGCATCTGTTAATTTACCACGTGTATCACAGAAGAAACAATTGATTCTTATTGCTGTTATGACAAGTAAAGATTTTCTAACGACACGTGCGCCAACAGTTATGCGTACGTGGGCAGACAAAGTTCCTGGTCAAGTCATATTCTTCTCTAGTGAAGGTTCGACGACTAATGATTCACGTATTAATCTGGTTAGTTTACCATCTGTAACTGATACTTATCCTCCACAAAAGAAATCGTTTCTTATGATGAAATACATTTATGATCATTATTTAAATAAATTTGAATGGTTTATGCGTGTGGACGACGACGTTTACATCAGAACAGATAATCTCGAGAAACTATTGCGGTCAATTGATAATCGTATAAATAAAGATCTCTCTTTCTCTTAATTCGAATTTCATTTCTTTCTTTTTTAGGCAGACCTTATTATATTGGTCAACCAGGAATGGGAACAAAANCGATATGGTCTTCACTCGCGAGCTATTCCCACGTATACGTCATCATACTATTTGTCATAAACAAGTCTATTTTCCAATCATATTTAGTCAATACGATCCACATTATTGGGAAACAACGTCAGCTCAAACAAACTTCTCATCATTTCATTTACGTGATGACATTGGATACTGGCGTCAATATGGTTTTGGTATGTTGGGAATTTATAAATCAGACTTAGGATCGATTGGCAATTGGAATGTGGAGATAAGTGGATGGGGAAAAGAAGATGTAGAAATTTATGATAAATTAGTTAAATCTGCAACTTTAAATGTCTTTCGGACAATTGATACCAGTTTGATGCACGTATTTCATACAAAAGAATGTTCACCAACGTTACAAGATGACCAAATGAAAATGTGTAAAGGAACTAAATCGATTACGTTAGGATCACAGCGTACATTAGTGAAACATGTTCTTAAAATGATTCAGCTCAATAAAATCTGATATGTTTTCATGTTTTGTTTCTGAGTTTCATCTTTTTCTTTCTCGTAATCAACAAAATAATACAGCGTCTGGATGAATATACTGACATACATCAGCACTAGACTGTATTCAGATGTCTTTTCACTTATACAACGATGAATAGTGTAATTATTTCTTAGAAGTTGAACGATAGCATCGCCAAAGACTTGAGTAACATAATTAATACGATAATGAAAGATATTGTAAAATATGCAATCGATGGTTCGATTTAGAAAATGCACCGTGAATATTTGTACATTACATCGAATTCAAATTCAGGCGACCGAGCAACAACCGTATAGTATTTCTTGGATTTGAAGTCATTGTGGTGATTTAAAACACTATAATTATTGTTCACAATAAGTCCTGTTATGTACGCAACAGAATCAGTACTATATCGATCCTCACAATAGAAAGTACATTATATTATCATTGTATTCATACTGTATACTGGCAAGAACTTGGTTTTTGCATGCTATAAGTGCAATGTGTATTTTACATATCAAGTATAATAATGAATCTTATCATTTGTTGTATTCCTATCCATATACTATGGATTGATAAACAGTAAAATATTTGTACATGTTTGAACTATTATTTATTGTATAGTTCACCGACTCGGTACAATAGATAGCGCAAAATTATTTTCCACTGATTTTGACGCATGTTCTTTTCTTCGGCAAACTGTTATTGCAGGTTGCTCGTGATTTGACTGTACAGAACTTTTTCTTTCTTTATTTTTTCTGCCATTTCCTCCGTCTTCTTGTACGCTGTACTCGAATACTTAGCTAAGGACACGTATGCATAGTGCAGGAAACATCTACGCAAACAAAAATATTACATACGCAATGAGAGAAAAGAGAGAAAAAAGGAAATATGAGAGCACACTCAGTTATATCTGTTGTATCATTGGTGATACGAAGTGCACAAGTAGAAATACTCTCATCTCGTATTTTCACAAATGCGGGGCGTGATTTATACCGCATATTCGATTTTCCTTATTTGCACACTGTTGTTTACGGCGAGTGAGTAGCGTGATGCTGATAAATTTCACCTAGACAATACGGATATTGTTCTCATCTATAGATGCATTATCTCTCAGACGTTATCGTCGCCAAACAAATAAACATAAAAAAGATGGTCTACCCTATGAAGGTTGGTCGGGAGGATCAAATAATCCAAGTGGTGCCAGTCCAGGTGCCTACTACGGTAAATTAGCCTTTTAATTAGACAGTCGATCGGTAATTTCATGTGCAACCCCTCTCTTAACTGTAGGCACTGGAATCAATCCAAATTATGGTGGAATCAAACCACATACAAATAATGTTGAAGGTGGAATCAGCGTCATAGGTTACACTCATGAGTTCACTCATAACGGTGGTAACAAATTACCTTGGAACCATCAACAAAATTATCAATACAATAATAATTATAATAATCCGTGGCAAAGACCAAATATGTATAACCACTATAGTCGACCTTACAATCGCTATGCACCAGGAAGCCAAGGGTGGTATGCAAGTGGTGGTAATTATTGGCATAATAAAGGTCGATATCTGATTCCTCATACTTGGATACTGATAGTCAGTTCTATAATCTCTGTATCTTATATATTGTAAAATATGCTTCCTAATGTATTGTTATTGAATAAATCATATACATGAATCAGCGAAGACAAAGCGAAATCGTCTCTCCGTTTTAGCTAACCGATCATGTTTGAGCAACCTAAGATAGCTAAAAAGCTGCATATTTTACTTGAATCAATTCCTTCTTCGGGCACCAGTTAAAACAACTGCTCGAATGGCTTTTGTATGTCATTATCAGTCGAATTACATAACATTAATAACAGTTAATATCTTACAACTGCAAAAGGATTCAAACAATTCAACTGGCACACGTGTAATGCAGTTATCCTTCAAGTGGCTAAAACCTGTAAGAAACCCCTATTGCTAAAACTAATCACCACGACCACGCTCAACAAATGGCGAAAGGCAGCCCATACAACAATCTTATACAAAGCCGAAACGTGTGTGCATATTCAACTGCCACGTAACAAACATCAGTCAACCTATTCCAGCACATTTCACCACCATCAATCCCACAGTGAAAGAAGATATCACAAAAATATCTTTGTGTAAATTTCACATGCAAACCTTCCATGCAAATCAAAACATTATCCACATCTATTTTAAGCGATTGTCATACAAATGGACAAAATCATTCATTCCAACACGACTTCAAATAAGGTCTCCCTGACTTTGCCAGACTACCACGATGAGAAGAATGCCATAGATTGACAACTTCTGAGGAGTGCGCACACATCTCAACAAAAAATGCCCTTGCAACCGAACGGTACAAATACCAAATTAATGGCGTCGCTAGTTCCAATCTCGCAGATATTCTGCCGAGTGAAAAGAAAAGCTGGACACAAAAGCCATTTTTCTCAAAAGAATTTATTCTCATATCAACAGCGAAAAATCATATACATAAATTGAATGCAAATAACGATGATTCCCTCTTTCCTTCAGAGTACGTTATATCCTCTTCGTTTTCTGTATAAAATATTCTTGCAAGCGCTATTGGAAGCACGCGTGTCAGTCTTTCGATCATTATTCAATCGAGTTCCATCTAACATACCATTCATTTGCTCTACGACTCATTGAAAAATAACGAAGACGAAAATTCTTTCAAAACACCTTTTTCACGCACAGTTCATTCTCACAAAAAGCTGTCCCTAAAACCAAATATATTCATATAGGCTGCCAAGTTAAATTTTAAATTTTCCCAAAATCAATCTTTTCCCGAAACATGATCGACAATTGTAATCATAATATCCCTTCAGATTAGCCCAATCCGACTGCATTTTAACAATGATATTTGTAATCCCAGCCCAATAGATTATCTCACCTTCGATCTTGCCCATCCAGATTTATCAAATTTACACGACAATAAAATGGCGTTTCCACAGATCCGTCACGTATTTCAGCTACCACAAAAAAGTCAAATTTGACAAAGCCCCAATATCGCTAAAGCGTACGCATCACACCATCTACAGCAAACATTTCACCAAGATCACACATATATTGATGGACATCTGCCGAGTCATGATTAACATTCTAACAATCCAACGGTTTTGCCAAAAACCCGTCAGAAATTACCGCCACAAAATTTTCCTTAAACACGTGTCTCACTCTTTAACTTCTTCAATTCATAATAAACAATCCAACTGCATCGCCCTAAATCAGTTTCAACTTCAAAAGTCAACATCAAAGCAAGAAGAGGGGGGGGTGTACCCTTAAATCAACACAAATATTGCACATTTGAAAAGAGTCAATTTTGTTGTCTGCATATACATATGAATGCATATCAATATCAAGTAAAGAAGAAACTATGGCAAGATGATCGGTGAAACACGTTTAAA